CCGGGGCAATCTATTCCACACTGGCACGATTCAGTATGGAAAGAGCGGAGAAGGTAGTCAGGAGCTCGTGGCGAGACATTCAGCTCAAGCTGGTGGCCATAGTGTTGTTGTTGGGCTGCTCGTGTGCGGCGATGACGTGGCGGCGTAGCCTGTGGGGGGAGGACACATGGCCGCAACTAATTGAGGTAGACCATGGCCACAGTCACACAGTTTATACAACAGGCAGAGAGCAGAGACCTTTCGCGGAATAGTGACATTTTCCAGCATTGGCCTGACGAATCCTTTGTAGACAGTCACCTGCCGCGTGGCTGAGGAGGGATGCTGCCTTCCGCATGAGGCCCAGCCGCTGCTTAGCACGTGGTGCAACTTGCCGAAAGTGTAGTCTGAAGCTAAGTTTAAAATCAAACGTCACTCCGAGCACCTTGACAGATTCATCTGGTGGGAGAGGAGTTCCGCCGAATGACAGCTGTGAAGTCACTGTCCGCTGGTGGCCGCGGCACAGAGTGATGGCTTGCGATTTCGATGGCTCAAACGCAATCCTCCATCTTATCTCTTGCTCCAGGCACGAAGCTCATCTAGACTGCGTTGTAGTGAGGCATTCGAGGCTTGGTCAAAGAGAAGGGTGTACATGTACATGTACTTACACTGATGTGCTTGTACAGTGCTAGCAACTGAAATCCGACCCCCTAGGGATGCGTTCACATTCTAGCGGTCTCTATTTCGTAGTTTTAATATCCCATGTTGGGTCTTTGCGATGTGAGCGCACCGCTCAGGGGTCGGATTTCAGTTGCCATCACTGTACCTGTCTGAGCTAAAGTAAACATGGTAAAAGTACATAGTGAAAAGTAGTGCAGCGTGACTGGGGTTATCATAATGTACATGGTGGTGTGGGCATACAAGAGAGTAGCACTATGTTTGCAAGTGAGTTTGCGAAGCTCTTTCTTAAAAACAACAATGGATGGTTCTGCAGTTAGTCCCGGTGGGAGACAGTTCCATAAGAGGGAGGTTTGGAAGAGAAACAACGATTCTGATGTGGTCATTGCTTTAGGGTGAATACTTTTTGTTTGGGCGTCTCCCACTCTGCATTTTAATATCGAAATTGAACGAAGCTACAATTTGTAGGCAACTTCGATACCTGAAAATAAATATGTGCATGGTAACTAAGCTTCTAAACTGCGTGCGATAAAGAAGGGATTCAATGTTAGCTTATTCATTAAGTTCCTGCTCGGGTGGCCGGGTGTGTTAAAGTCGATTCAGATTTTGCGTTTCCTGAGGTAGGATCTTGCAAACCGGGCCTGGACTGTATCCAGCTCAGTCAAGTCGCTTGACCGAAGACGAAAGGAGCACACTACGACACAATACTCAATCACAGGTCGAACATAGCACTTGTAGAGGAGCATCATGGCCAGTGGTGTAAGACCATGTGCCATATCACAAAGTAGGCTAATTACTCAGGCTGGGATTTGTTGTACAGTATAGAGATGTTACTCTGTGCGGCGGGGGCTATCTGCAGGAACTAGAGCATGATATTGGGGCCAGGGCTATGCAAAGCTATGTAGCAAAGTAGGCCCTATGGAGAAATTACACAAAATGTCCGCAAAACAACGCAAAATCCGATGTTTTTTAGAGCGTCACACTGGAAGATGATGCCCAAATAACCCCTAATATAGTAATAAAATGGTCATTGCTTCCTCCATACATCGACCTGTATAGCGAGGTACTGAAGACACAGCGCCTGATTTCACAGCGCCAGCTTCTTCAGCGCCTGATTTCACAGCGCCAGCACTTCAGCGCCTGATTTCACAGCGCCTGATTTCACAGCGCCAACTTCTTCAGCGCCTGATTTCATAGCGCCAGCACTTCAGCGCATGATTTCATAGCGCCAGCTTCTCCAGCGCCATGACTATCAGCATGGTAAAGTACAGCGCCAGCAACTCAGTGCGAAAAAGTAAGGCGCGGTAATTTACAGCGCGAAGGTGTTAAGCGCGATAAGGTACACTTTATCGCGCTGAACTGTACCGCAGTGTACTTGATCGAGCTGTGCATAATGACGCTGTACCTTAAGTTGGCGCTGAAATATAATGGCGCAGATTTATGTGGCACTGACATATTCGGCGCTTATCGGCTGGCGCAGAAGTATAATATTATGGCGCTGAAATATGTGGCGCCGTAAAATCCGGCGCCTACGTTCATGGCGCTGACACGGACACTCTCACCTGGTTTGTGTTGAACTTGAGGGCCCCGAAATGGCATGGAATCTGTGAAGTGATTCATGCACTGCTCTAGACATAATTTGACGAGTGTTGCGTGCAATGGGTGGGGGATCTTATCAAATGCGGTAGTGGCCGATTGCACACAGCCCATGTCAGCAAGAAAACGCTGTGCCATGTCTGCCTCGTAATCTCTGCCCCATGGTTGAATTTCACATTGCACACCTCCCGACTTCCAAATGCCCATTCCTCAAGTAATGATAGCGAACCAGTCATGTTAGACATACATGTAGCAACTTGTGCTGTGATTACCCCAGGGTACCACTCCCTGGATTACCCCAGGGTACCACTCCCTGGATTACCCCAGGGTACCACTCCCTGGATTACCCCAGGGTACCACTCCCTGGATTACCCCAGGGTACCACTCCCTGGATTACCCCAGGGTACCACTCCCTGGATTACCCCAGGGTACCACTCCCTGGATTACCCCAGGGTACCACTCCCTGGATTACCCCAGGGCACCACTCCCTGGATTACCCCAGGGTACAACTCCCTGGATTACCCCAGGGTACCACTCCCTGGATTACCCCAGGGTACCACTCCCTGGATTACCCCAGGGTACCAATCCCTGGATTACCCCCAGAATACCACTCCCTGGATTACCCCAGGGTACCACTCCCTGGATTACCCCAGGGTACAAGTCCCTGGATTACCCCAGGGTACCAATCCCTGGATTACCCCAGGGTAACACTCCCTGGATTATCCCAGGGTGCCAATCCCTGGATTACACCATTCAACAGCTTGCAAGGCTGATTAGTTGACCACCACTAGTTTTAGCCTGGTGTATATCACCAAGAGTACATAACCCCCCAGAGTGTGCAACGCCTGATCCAGTTCTGCATAGGGTCTTGGTCGAGCGTAATCGGATCTTTGTGTCATAATACCGTACACATCTGAGGGGAACCCGGGGAGTCGCGGGTACTCTCGGATCAAAAACAACGGTACCCTCCCTCGAGACCGGCCTTGCGCTGGTGTGGAGTGTACGCATGACATCAGAAGATCCGATTCCGCTCGACCAAGACCCTATGCAGAACTGGATCGGCGTTGCACACTCTGGGGGGTTATGTACTCTTGATATCACACAGCTGGTTGACACCCCCCCCCCCCCCACACACACACACCTGTCCTGTCCTGTTGACCCACTGTCGTAAAGGTCACGTGCTCCCATTGCGGGAGGAGGGATAGAAGCATACATGCCGGTACCACATCAAGTCCCTGGACTGCTGAAATTAGGCATATCTGGACAATGCCGGCAGGAAAATTGGCAGAATTCGGTACTTTTTCTGGTAAGTTTCATGCATGTTTAGTATGTGGATTAAGAAATGGACCAGAATTCGAGGAATTGCCCGCCATGAGGTTCGTATGGTTCTGCTAATTTCACTGCTTTTCGAGCAGAATCTGCCACCTTTTCGAGCATTATCCGCCAATTCATAGCTGAAATCTCCGGGAGCAGTGCTGACACAGTAGAGGAAAATTGGCACGTTCATCCGTTGTTGGGCGGTTCTGGCGAGGCCTACAAGGAGCGGGCTGGCTAGCGATTGAGTTCGACGGACATTGGTGGACAACGAGTCCACCTCTGCTACGACATCATTTCCCACAATCTGCACATTGGCATGCACCATGCTGCTGTTGCACTGGCTTGCAACGCTCTGCCGCGCACTTGTGGCGTTTAATTAAAGTTGCTTGGTCTAGAGCATACCTTTCCACAGACGGAACACACACACCATTGGACCATTGGACACCCATCGCCAGAGGCGATGATAGCGATACTACAGCAGAAGCCATAGCAGCAGAAGCTTGTGCTGGGATTGCACCATTCAACAGCTTGCAAGGCTGAAGAATTGACCGCCACTATTCAGCCTGGTATACACCACACAGCTATGAAGTGGCTTTTTCTGGCCAGCGAATCCCCCCCCCCCCACACACACACCTCAGACCTCAGACCTCAGACATGCCCATCGCTGAAGCGATGATAGCGAACAGCTATGTTAGACATAGCAACTTGTGCTGGGATTACACCATTCAACAGCTTTCAAGGCTGATGAATTGACCGCCACTATTTTTAGCCTGGTATCCACCACACAGCTGTTTGTAGTGACTTTTTCTGGCCAGTGAATCCCTATTTTTCATTTTCCATTTTTCCTTTTTTTTTCTACACACACACACACCACACCACATACTCCGGCATACACTGGCTGTTGGTAACCACCCAGGAGAATGAAAGAAAAGTCAGGAAGAGTCCAAGAAAGAGAAGAAAGACGTGTGCGACCATAATCGTCGGGAATTGAACCCGCAACCTCTCGATTGGAAATCGACTGCACATACCACTGCACCATATGGGACACACACATACACACACACACACACACACACACACACACACACACACACACACACACACACACACACACACACACACACACACACACACACACACACACACACACACACACACCATTGACCATTTGATGCTCATCGCCGGAGGCGATGATAGCAATGCTACAGCAGAAGCCATAGCAACTTGTGCTGGGATTGCACCATTCAACAGCTTGAAGGCTGAAGAATTGACCGCCACTATTCAGCCTGATCTATACCACAGAGCTATGAAGTGGCTTTTTCCGGCCAGAGAATCCCCACTTTGTGATCCTTTTCAGTCCCCCCGTATGCACATCACCGCACATACTCCGGCATGCACGGGGCAGTTAACCACCCAGGAGAATGCAAGAAAAGTCAGGAGGAGTCTGAGAAATTCAAGAAAGATATGTGTATGCATCATCAAACGAGCAACTTCTGGATTGGAAATCGCTGCAAGTACAAACTAGACCGTACGGCACTTGAATGTGCGTATGGTGAACTAACGAATGTGGGACAAACAAGGTGGCCAGATATCGTCTACCCGTGTAAGTCGGCCACAGAGCAAGTAGATGGCCTTACTCATGGCAAAGTACTCGTACACAGCGGAAGCCGCCAGGATACACAGAGCGAGCCTTGGCAGTGCACCGGCAGCTACTGACTTGGAGGCACTGTAGCCATGGTGATGCTATCGCAACTTGCCTGTGTTCTTGCAGGGCAGACACGGTGGCAAGCGTTTACAGATGGAGTGCGGCGACCATCAGGAGAACTAGAGCCAAGAGAGATGGCATGGCAGCTCCATAAGAGGCTCCGGCTGAACAAAAAGCAAAAGAAAAGAAAAGCACACCCTCAGTCACTCCATCATGTACTGAAACGTGAGAGACTTTCAAAAGAGACTAAGTTTCGCTACTTTCACGACCATGACACATTCCCGAAAATAAATCGCTACGAACCGCTCTGCACATTGATTGTAGACAGTACAAAATCGAACTGAATTTTTTTAAATCCAACTGAATAGATGAACATCAATCTGGAAAGTTTCTCATATTGTACCTGCGCAATTCTTGACTACTAGTACAGTTGAACATCGATTATCCGACCACCTCTGGGCAGACAACTGTCAGGCGGTGTTCAGATAAGGCAAATGTTCCGGATAAGAAAAAACTGTCACTCACACACTTTCAGTGGTTATTACTAGCCGCACGACCTTTTTACTTTTTACTTTTCAAAATTTCCGTATTTTTTGAATGGCTCACTACATGCACCCACCCACACACACACACACACGGAATGAATTTTGGAAACCTTGGAAAAGGCTTTGCCAAAATGGTCCCGCCGCTTAGTGCCAGCCGGCTAATGTAAATCGCAGGCCAATGTGTGTCATAACTTCAAATGATGCATGATTGAGCCATGCTAGCATGTGAGAGCAACAACCACTGATCGATTTCTCCTTTTAAATCCCACGGCCGGCCAAAGTTTGACGACGGCAAAAACGCTTCACTTCGAAATCGGCCAAAGCTTCTCAAAATTTGTTGATTTACAGTAAGTAACTTTAATTTTAGTGGATTTTTTTACAATGTAGACAACTGTAGACTCTACGTATGTGTAAAGTATACTTTCTTTATACCATCAGTGGGGTTCATGGACTCGACGGGCCAAGAATTTCTTTAGTCACAAGTGTAGACTGGTTGTAGCGTGCACAGTAAATTAGGCTTACAGGCAGCTTTGGCCGTAGGCTTGATGGTGATTGTACTGCTGTCCTTGCTCCTGGGTACTGCTGTGCTTGCAGGTACTGCTGTGCTTGCAGGTGCCATGGTGGTGGGAGCTACGCTTACATCTACAAGAAAAGAAAATACATTACATGTATGCGCACCCACGCGCACACGCACACCCACACACACACACACACGCACATCCACACACACATACACACACACACACACAGACACACACATGCACGCACACCCACCCACCCACCCACACACACACACACACACACGGAATGAATTTTGGAAACCTTGGAAAAGGCTTTGCCAAAATGGTCCCGCCGCTTAGTGCCAGCCGGCTAATGTAAATCGCAGGCCAATGTGTGTCATAACTTCAAATGATGCATGATTGAGCCATGCTAGCATGTGAGAGCAACAACCACTGATCGATTTCTCCTTTTAAATCCCACGGCCGGCCAAAGTTTGACGACGGCAAAAACGCTTCACTTCGAAATCGGCCAAAGCTTCTCAAAATTTGTTGATTTACAGTAAGTAACTTTAATTTTAGTGGATTTTTTTACAATGTAGACAACTGTAGACTCTACGTATGTGTAAAGTATACTTTTTTTATACCATCAGTGGGGTTCATGGACTCGACGGGCCAAGAATTTCTTTAGTCACAAGTGTAGACTGGTTGTAGCGTGCACAGTAAATTAGGCTTACAGGCAGCTTTGGCCGTAGGCTTGATGGTGATTGTACTGCTGTCCTTGCTCCTGGGTACTGCTGTGCTTGCAGGTACTGCTGTGCTTGCAGGTGCCATGGTGGTGGGAGCTACACTTACATCTACAAGAAAAGAAAATACATTACATGTATGCGCACCCACGCGCACACGCACACCCACACACACACACACACGCACATCCACACACACATACACACACACACACACAGACACACACATGCACGCACACCCACCCACCCACCCACACACACACACACACACACGGAATGAATTTTGGAAACCTTGGAAAAGGCTTTGCCAAAATGGTCCCGCCGCTTAGTGCCAGCCGGCTAATGTAAATCGCAGGCCAATGTGTGTCATAACTTCAAATGATGCATGATTGAGCCATGCTAGCATGTGAGAGCAACAACCACTGATCGATTTCTCCTTTTAAATCCCACGGCCGGCCAAAGTTTGACGACGGCAAAAACGCTTCACTTCGAAATCGGCCAAAGCTTCTCAAAATTTGTTGATTTACAGTAAGTAACTTTAATTTTAGTGGATTTTTTTACAATGTAGACAACTGTAGACTCTACGTATGTGTAAAGTATACTTTTTTTATACCATCAGTGGGGTTCATGGACTCGACGGGCCAAGAATTTCTTTAGTCACAAGTGTAGACTGGTTGTAGCGTGCACAGTAAATTAGGCTTACAGGCAGCTTTGGCCGTAGGCTTGATGGTGATTGTACTGCTGTCCTTGCTCCTGGGTACTGCTGTGCTTGCAGGTGCCATGGTGGTGGGAGCTACACTTACATCTACAAGAAAAGAAAATACATTACATGTATGCGCACCCACGCGCACACGCACACCCACACACACACACACACGCACATCCACACACACATACACACACACACACACAGACACACACATGCACGCACACCCACCCACCCACCCACCCACACACACACACACACACACGGAATGAATTTTGGAAACCTTGGAAAAGGCTTTGCCAAAATAGTCCCGCCGCTTAGTGCCAGCCGGCTAATGTAAATCGCAGGCCAATGTGTGTCATAACTTCAAATGATGCATGATTGAGCCATGCTAGCATGTGAGAGCAACAACCACTGATCGATTTCTCCTTTTAAATCCCACGGCCGGCCAAAGTTTGACGACGGCAAAACCACTTCACTTCGAAATCGGCCAAAGCTTCTCAAAATTTGTTGATTTACAGTAAGTAACTTTAATTTTAGTGGATTTTTTTACAATGTAGACAATTGTAGACTCTACGTATGTGTAAAGTATACTTTTTTTATACCATCAGTGGGGTTCATGGACTCGACGGGCCAAGAATTTCTTTAGTCACAAGTGTAGACTGGTTGTAGCGTGCACAGTAAATTAGGCTTACAGGCAGCTTTGGCCGTAGGCTTGATGGTGATTGTACTGCTGTCCTTGCTCCTGGGTACTGCTGTGCTTGCAGGTACTGCTGTGCTTGCAGGTACCATGGTGGTGGGAGCTACACTTACATCTACAAGAAAAGAAAATACATTACATGTATGCGCACACACGCGCACACGCACACCCACACACACACACACACGCACATCCACACACACACACACACACACACACACACACACAGACACACACATGCACGCACACCCACCCACCCACCCACACACACACACACACACACGGAATGAATTTTGGAAACCTTGGAAAAGGCTTTGCCAAAATGGTCCCCCAGCTCATCATTTGCTGTCAGAAAATATGATCACACTAGAACAACATACACAATTGTGACAACAACACCATACACAACTGTGACAACAACACCATACACAACTGTGACAACAACATTCACAGCTGTGCGGACAGTGGCAAGCCTTACCGTAGGATTTGAAGACGATCACGGGGTACTTGTATTGGTTGACGGGCGTCATATCGGTAGTTTGGTCGAAGAAGAGCAACTCGTACGTATCCCACTCCAAATTAAGTGGGCTGGTGAAAGCTATCCATTCACATCCATTAACTGGTGCTGTAGCCTCGTAGCAAGTTGAGTTGTACGTACGATACTCAGCGTTTGTAGGCACGTTGGGAGCGAAGTCAAATATGCTTGTGTTATCGAGCGTTATGTTGTGTTTCTGAACGAGAACGCTTTCTTGATCGGTGAAGCCACTTAGAACGGCAGTAAAGTTAGCTGCAGAGAAACATATGCAATAGTGTTTGTGTTTGTGTGTGTGTGTGTGTGTGTGTGTGTGTGTGTGTGTGTGTGTGTGTGTGTGTGTGTGGTGTGTTGTGAAGTTTGCGTGGAAACGTTAGTGAAAGACAGATAGACAGACAAACAGAGATGGACGAGATGGACAAAGACATACAGAGATGGACGAGATGGACAAGGACATACAGAGATGTAAAACTACAGCATTGTATTTACAACCATAAAGTATGTGTAACATACGACACCATACAGGCCAAACGCCCAGGGTTTCCCGGGACAGTCCAGTGAAGAGGGTGTTTGTCCCGGGGTCCAGGATGTCCTGTGAGAGTCCAGGGATTGAGATGGAACTTTTGAAATCGAAATTCTCCCTTTTATGACGCTTTTTTAATGTTTCCTCGAACTTGAAAATCCGTTGTAAGTGCACACAGCACACACATAGTAGACAACACAACCCATGGTGAACTGCAACGGATCGTCGGTATAACGGTAGTCAACAGAAAATTACTTGTGCAGTTCCAGCTCAATGCAATGACATCCCTTTTGATTGAGCAGCAATCATGAAAAATAGATCTGCTAATGATGGATGCGCTAGAAAAACTTGTGTCCACAAAAAAACACAGACAAAATCAAGGGAATTTAGCCTCGTTGTCCAGGGAACTCAAGCCTCCAAGTTGGCATGTATGCGACACTTGCAACAAGGAAATGCCTGTCGCGTACTGTCACTAGCAGTTGCAAAGCCACTGTCACTGAAGTTGACCAAAGGTAAACTCTTGCAGCAATCGGAACTCAGTTTACCTTGAAGCTCCACACAAGAACATGCTACACCAGTAAACCTACAAGATGGTAGTCATCACACCAGACAAAATTAGTAGCGTTTTGCATTTTGCCAAATGATTTTCCTTTCCCCGGCCGCATAGGTAGGTAGGTACATTTGTATTTGAATTCGCAGAAGGAAACGGGCGCTCTCGCCCAATTACATGGAAGCGAGTGGAAAAAATAAATCATTGTAGGAAATAGCCTAACATGATAACAGGGTGTAGTACAAAAGCAAAGAACGCTCAGTCAATGAATAACGTTAACGTTAGAACACAACAACGGGGAGGCGGTAAACAGCACATGACTGGTACTGTGGAGTACCGCAAACGTTCAAAGGTTCCTGTAGTGTTCAGTAGTGGGTGCTACTGCTAGCAAGACAGAACAGAAGGTAGGCTTCTTTGAACTGGTGGTACTGGGTAATACTACACACATGTCGGATTGGCAGGATGTTCCATATAATGGACCCGCGAGCGGTTGGACGGTCGTGACCAGCTTTGGAGATTTCGGCACTGGAAGGCCCAAGCTGCATGGCGCGCGCGTTGTGCGAGTACTGGGACGCTCCAGAAGGGCTTGCAGTGCATTGCTTGCCCGACCAATCGAGCAACGCCAGATCATAACAAGGGTCTTTTGCTTGTGGAGCTCTTTGATGCCATACAGCTGCAGACGAGTAAGCAGAGGTTGGGCGCTTGTACGAGGTGGCTGGCCGAATACGGCGTGTGCCTCACTGTTTTGCTGGACCTGAAGGCGGGACCGCTAGTATTGTTGAAGGCGACCAGAGAACGCCACGGACCCGTAGAGGAAATCTGGCATCACAGCGGATTTCACGTACTGCTCTCTGGACCTTCTTGTAAGGCAACGGCGGGCTCTCCAGAGTGCTCTCATCTTCTGCGAGACCTTCTTTACAGCATTGGTAACGTGTTCGTCAAATCGAACGTGCTCGTCTATCGTGTTGCCCAGATACTTCGCATGGGGAACTGCTGGTAGCGGGTTTCCACGGCATTTGACAGTTATGTCTTGGCCGGAAATTTGCAGGACATGGCTTTTGCTAGTGTTCAGGATTAGATTCCGTTCCTGGAGGTGGTAAGCAATCTGGGATGTAGACTTTGTGAAAACTCGCGATACTTCATGGCAATCAGGGTGGCTGAACGTGAGAGCAATATCGTCAGGAAACTGTACTGAGAGGGATGGGTTGGCAACTGGTGGGCATATGCCTGGTTTAGATTTTGAAAAGCACGGGTCCGAAAACGGAACCCTGTGGAACACCACATGAGCACGTGCCACTGACACCAATGGCTTCAGCGATTTGCACTTGTTTGGTGCGTCCTTCGAGGTAGTCTGCAAACCATTGGAGTGCAGTGCCATGAAGGCCAACTTCGAAAAGATCGCGTACAAGATTGTCATGCTTGAATTTGTCGAAAGCCTTTGACATGTCCAGCAAACACACACCACTGGCTAGTTGCGCGTCCTTTGCATTTTGAGAATGTTCTCCGTCAGGAGTACAAAAGCATCTTCAGTGCAGTGGTTTGTGCGGTATGCAAATTGGGTGGTCGGCAGCGCGTTGTTTGCCGCGAGGAACCTTACAAGAGAGGCGATGTACTGCCTTTTCAAGCAGCTTCGCAACAATTGGTAATAACGACACGGGTCTGTAGTTAGTGGCGACTGCAGGGTGTGTTTGAACGGCTTCCGTAGGCGACCGGAATGTAAGGAGGCATTGAAGAGGTCGCATAAGTGCGGGGCAACAATGTCACTGCAGGCTCGCAGCAAGGGATTTCGACACTGCCTGTACTGTAGCCTTGTCAGGATCGATTGTGGCGAGTAATCGCTGTACTGCGGGACAGGTCGTTGGCGTGTGAGCTGAGAGCGAGGTGCGGGTGCAGGGACCATGGGGTATCTGTAGGGTGTCTGGACGGCTTGGATCAGTGACAATAATATTGAAGGAGCTGCTCGCCGCAGAAACGTAGCACACTGGGTCCTGCCTTGCCTTGGAGCGGCCGGTTACCGCGTTCAAGATTGACCACATTCTCCTTGGATCATGAGAGTTCTGCTCACATTGTCTGGTGAAAAAAGCGTTTCTTTGCCTGTGAATTGCGTTGGATGCCTGAGACCGGGCTGTCTTTTACTGGGTGTGTAGGATGTCATTTCCTCTATCTCCTAGCCAGCGCTTGTGTAATCTATTTTTCTTTTGCGTGAGTTAGTACGTATCCTTGTCGAGCCAAGGTAATGTCGCAGCAGCTTTCTGGCATGATGGGTGCATGTATGTCTAGAACTGTTTTGAACCCTTGATTGATTGATTTTATTTGGATTTCGCGAGACCAAACGAGCAGGAGTGCTCAATAACAGGGTAGCGAATGGTTGAGTTGTGCTATGTGACAATGTAGTGTGTGCGTGGGGTGGTGGTGGTGGTGGTGGTGGGGGGGGGGGGGGGGGGGAGCTGCGGAGGCCCAATACAATGTAAGGGGATGGGAGGAGGGAAGGCCAGCAGAGAGTCAAATTCAGAAGAGGAGAAAGCCGTCCACATGTCCTCAACATCCATGTGGGCAGATGTAGTATTAGCGTTGAGTGCTTCGGCGAGGTCACACCGGAACTGGTCGATATCAATGCTGTGTAAGTGGCGACGCTTTTGGCTGTGCCTACCTGGACTAGATGTTGCTATGGCGATATGAAGGTCCGCCATCACCGCGTGGTGGTCGCTAATTGTACATTCCAAAACAGTTCAACTCGAGACAAAGTTATGGTCTGCTAGTACGAGGTTGATCACTGAACCATGATTCCCACTCGGAGTCGGCCGTGTGGGGAACTTCACCAAATTCGAGATGCCAAACATATTGCTGAGGTCTTGCAGGTGTGTACGATGGTGACTGTGAGTTGTCATGTTGACGTTGAGATTGCCAATAATGGTCATGTGTGGGCTTGCGCCTGGGCCCGCTGCAGTGACTCTTCAAGGTTGTTCCAGTAGTCAATCCCCACATCTGGAGGTCGGTAGATCCAGGCCACTGCATGTTGACCCTGGCCGCCTTGAATCGATATCCAGACAGCCTCTAGGCCATTCAAAGACAGTTCAGGACAAGGTCGGATTGGCAAAGAAGATTTGTAATAATACACGTACCTCCTCCTCGTCTACCCACATGGTCTGTCCTTGTGAGCGACGGTTGTATCCAGGAATGGCTACTTCTCCGTCACCAATAGTGCTGTCTAGCCAGGTTTCGGCCAATCCAAAAATATCAAAGCCCTGCGGCCGGAGGAGTGCCGTTACTTCATCTACTTTGTAGCGCAAGCATTCAAAAAAACCTAGTTTAAGAGTTCGGGTGTCCTGGGTGCTCACCGGAAAAATGATGGTGGCAGCTCTTGGGGAAAATACCTGAGCATGTGGATTTAAAGAAAAAATAAAGCAGTGAAAAGTAGTAAGTAGTAAGAAAAAGAACAATCATGAACGAGGGCTAGCATAGTATCGAGATTACAAGCAGGAGATATTCTTTACAGATCATTGGCTTCCTCGCCGACTCCTCACACGCTGGGCAAGGTGGTGCATCTCTTTTGCAGATGCCTCATTTGCCCATGCGGTTTGGGGGTCCAATGCCAGGACTCTTGCGCTGAATGTGTGCTTGCCTGATGCGCGGATGAATCCTTCGTCATCAGGTGATGAGGGCCACCCCTTCCCACCAGAGAGCGGAAATGCCAGCACTCCACGTGTGGCCTGTTTTGCAGACAGGGTTCTCGCGGTACTTTACGGTATAAGCATACTCTCACACACTGCCAAAATGACAAGAGAGGAAGCTTACCTTCCCGTGCCAGTGCGGGACTCATGGAGTAAAGAACAGCTGCATAGGAAGTCATGCCAACCATCATATTGGCAACAAAGTTTGTGCTGCTTGTGACTTGACTGGGGGTGAGGTGAGCATTGATGATCTGATTATTCAGGAATGTGACTTTAGGGCGATCCGCCGTTCCCAGAATATTATGCAGGACTATCGTACCATTGGTTCCAGTTGGGACTCCGGCAGCAATGAGATGTGAGCCAACCGTTGCACCTGTGTATGGACACACAACATACATGCATACAGACACACACGAACACACACACACGCGCACACACACACACACACACACACACACACACACACACACATACACACATACTTGTTGCTCACTGCCGAAACTGGTCACGTGCGTCTCCCCGGGAGAGGGGAGAGAGATTCAAAAGGAATTTTGGAAAGATGACTCAATTGGCTATTGAACCGCCCAACGGGCTGACACCCCCTGAAATCCCCAAAACTCTGGGTGGATTTGGAAATGATTCCACTTATGGGCTCACCACACCTCAGTAAATGGGTGAGGACAAGGTGCAGAAACAGGGAAAGGGGGGGGGCACACACATGCACACACACACATGCACACATGTGTGGTTGTGAACGTGTGTGTGTGTGTGTGTGTGTGTGTGTCCCATATGGTGCAGTGGTATGTGAAGTCGATTTCCGATCAAGAGGTTGCGGGTTCAATTCCCGACGATTATGGTCGCACACATCTTTCTTCTCTTTCTCGGAATCTTCCTGACTTTTCTTTCATTCTCCTGGGTGGTTACCAACAGCCAGTGTATGCCGGAGTATGTGGTGTGGTGTGTGTGTAGAAAAAATGAAAAAAATGAAAAATAGGGATTCACTGGCCGGAAAAGTCACTTCAAACAGCTGTGTGGGGGATACAAGGCTAAAAAGAGTGGCGGTCAATAGATGACTTGCACAAAGATTGTCTGGGTTCGAGACGGGGCAAGTGGACTTTCTGACTTCCCACCTTTTGAGTTCGTGACTTTCGAAGTTTCGCTTTTTGCCTGACGAACACTGAGCTAGTTTTTTTGGCTAGCGAGTAGAGTTGTTTTGATTCGGCTTGTATCGTCATGCCGAAGCGCTGCTGCGCTCCTGGATGCACTAGCAGACGAGAGATGGACCTGAGGGTCTCATTCCATACGTTCCGGGCTTTCTGAGCCGGCCGGCCGGGAGGCAGAAAAATGAGGGAATATTATTTTAGTATCATTGGTGTAGGCTGCAACAAGCACGTCGTGGTCCTGAAGTGTGACTACTTTCCCGCAGTGGAAGCGAAGTCAAGCACAACGAAAGTTTGTGGACGTCTGAGAAAGAACTCGATTCCCTTTAATTCGGCTGCACTAGCTCCAGAGCGACCCTCTCCTGAGGACAGACTGCGGAGAGGCCAGGAACCTGCCGAGTCACGAGTGGAAGCCCAAACCACGAAAATGAAGGGTGGAAGGACCGAGTGTGAGAGCCATATGGCCTTTAGTAGTACTTCAACTAGTATCTGAGTTGAAGGAGAGAACAAGTGTGCTGGAGAAACGCTGCGAAGTCCTCAGGCCTGATGTGTACTAGCTACTGTTGAAGTCTCACTTGTTCCAATATGACCATTTCATCAGCCCTGACTCTGAGCAGCTGTATCTAGACTTGGACTTAGGCCAGAGACATAGCATTGTATACCATACTGAAGCCATATGTATCCAATGCCTGGATCTAGTGAGAAAGCAGTTTGGCGCAGGCTCGCAAACTATGATTGAATCAGGGAGTGGATGAAAGTCACATCATACCTCCAGTGTCTGCTGTAGGATTGTAGGACAGCCGGGTACACGTGTACCTGGCGCAACCATTTCAACCGGATCGGAGCCGGGTACACATGTATTCGACGCACGCCTCTGCATGATCTGTCACACATACAAGCTATGTAGTCAGTCCTTTCAAAGTTCGAACGTGTAAAGTTCCAACCGGGTCACAGCCTCACAGGTGACCTGGTACTATATTTTCAACAGGGTCCAAGCGCCGCCCAACCGGGTCGATTACCCGGCTCACCCGGCTCTGCAGCAGACACTGACCTCTCCATGATTAGCTGAGGGTAATGACGACGATGCAGCTCCGGCTGGGTCTCATGGGAAAGTAACTTGCATACCTGTTTAGTTGCAACGAGGCAACAGTACCCCATGTACTGAAGACATGATTGAACTACTTTTTTTATCTCCTCCTGGGAGAATGTGGAACAAATAATGCCAGAGTGTGTCTGATAAACATCACAGTCTGCTGAGTATGTTCATTATTATTGACGTAACAGAACTGCGCTGTGAGGTACCTTCTGCGTTGGACCTACAGTTGAGCCACTACTCTTCTTACAAATTCCATACAACGGTGAAAGGATTTGTTGGAGCATCATCGAACAGTGCATTCGCCTTCGTCATACACTAGCTCCGTTGCCTACAGTAATTCACATTTTGACGGGGCGCGCTGGGACGATTCGGAAGGAGCGGCGGGAATCATTGGAGTGCTCATGATGCTGGTTAGCGGAGACGAATGTGAGTGTCAGGAACGGGAACGCAACCGCGCTACTGTACAGATCAGGAAGCGATGGAAGAGTTGAATCTGTTCAGCCTTACATGCCGTGTACAGGGACACAAGCGTAAAAATGGCTACACACATTTCGAATGTGAACTGGTGATGGCATTGTGTGGCGACGAACACAACTGCAACTGTTCAAATGTCAGCATTTCGAACATTATGCTTCCCATGATAACTCACCGAATGGCTCACATGACGGAGTTGGACATTACCAGGCTAGGATTATCATTTGCTGTATTTATGGATAGTCCTTGAGTTTTCAGATGAAGTGCTTTATCTTTAACCTGTCGTTCCTCTAGTATGGCACAATGTCCATGGCTGCTTTCTTGTCTTCCTAACAGACTGGTATAATCAGCATGATTCTGCTTTATTGAAGAAGAAATAAAACTTTCCTTTCGGAAAGGAAGCCCAGAAACGTCAACCCCCATGGACTGTGCTTTATGACTCTCGTCCATCGACGTTAACTGTCGCAATAACTGCTGCATGTATGTTGTGCTGTGCAAACCATACAAGATTTTACAGCTCACCCACGCCTTCCCAACAGGCTCCTACTATCCCGTACCATTAGCGTTACATTGATTATGAACTAGGCTAGCACAGTTATCCTTCGTTCTTTTGATGGTGGCGGGTAGCATGGAACTTGACGTGTTCTTGGGATCCTCGTGCAACACTTGCTGTTCCCGGAAGCCATATTATTGGGTGCATCGAGTTTGCTTCTATGCTCACTGTTGTTTAGTAAGACAATTTATTATAACTATTTCACCGAAGAATATTAAAGGCAAGAGTATTTTGGGTTAGTTTGGACGCCTGACTTCTCTTCACATAATATACAGTAATGTACTTGCACTAACCTTACAAGTGCACATGACTCCGCATGAGCTGCTGAAGACATACTGACGTAAGACACACGGTACATGTACTGATCATGTACACGTACACGTAGTTGTGTAGCGTACATGCCGTGCACCGTTCATTCATGCTGACAAAAAAAGTAGATCTACACTACAGACGGTGTAGGGTGCCCGCAGTGTAGCCTGGGTGCACAGGGTGCACTTGCCCTGTCTCACTCGCGGCTCGGATCTTTGTGCAAGTCATCTATTCATCAGCCTTGCAAGCTGTTGAATGGTGTAATCCCAGCACAAGTTGCCATGTCTAACATAGCTGTTCGCTATCACCGCTTCCGCGGTGGGCATGTCTGAGGTCTGAGGGATGTGTGTATGTGTTTATGAATGTGTATGAGAGTGTTTATGAATGCGTGTGAGTGTGCGTGTGTGCGTGCGTGTGTATGTATGTGTGTGTGCGTGCACGCGCGCGTGTGTGAATTATGTGTGTGATAATGTGTTTAGAGTATGTGTATATGTGCATGTGTGTGCGTGTGTGTGCGTGTGTGTGTGTGTGTGTGTGTGTGTGTGTGTGTGTGTGTGTGTGTGCGTGTGTGTGTGTAAATGTGTAAAAGCTGACCGGCTGCCCCTGGACGTGGCGGGTGAGGTGGTCGAGTGTGTAAATAGTTTTCGTTATCTTGGCTCTCTCCTCCACACGAATGGCCGATCCACCCCAGATATCTGCTCGCGCATTGCAGGTGCATCACGTGCATTTGGAGCCCTGCGCCAGCCGGTTTTCAATGACAGCAACCTCTCACTTGCTACGAAGCGGCTTGTGTACGGGGCATGCGTGTTGTCTCTGCTTCTGTACTGTGCTGAGTGCTGGATGCCGTTGAAGCCCGACCTTGATCCACTGTACTCTTTCCATCTGCGCTGCAACCGTTCCGTGATGGGCATCAGCCAGCCGAATGTCTGGGACGAACGACTGACCAGGGTTGATGTTCTGGAGCATTGGAATCCGCGTCAACCCTGTGACATCCCCAGCCTGCTGACATCGCGCCGCATGGAGTGGCTTGGGCATGTTGTGCAAATGCATGAAGAGCGTGCCCCCGCGTCAGCTACTGTTTGGCACCCTACATCCTGTCTGTCCAATGTGCGGCCCAAGGAAAAGGTGGCGTGATGCTGCGCGGAAGAATCTGGCAGCGTTGGGCATCGATGAATGGTACGACTTGGCCGAGGATAGACAGGAATGGCGGGCCGCTTACAATGTTCTGCCTCGCCCGAACCCGTTTGTGAGCCCCTGCGGACACCTTGTTCCGAGTGTGGTTGTCTCTTCTCCAGGAGCGGTTTATCTCATCATAAATGCCTCGGTGAGCGCGCAAACCTGTATCGGAACAGAGGTAGCCGACAATGTTCTTCCTGCAAGCGCTGGTTTCGCAGTGCCGGAGGTTTGGCGGTCCACAAATGCCTCAACTCCCGGACGCTCCCAGCGACATCGTCTCAGGCTCCGTGCGGGGCGGCGGTGTCTACCATTGCTTTCTTAGGTGACTCCACCGGCGCCGCGTGTGCGGCTCGCCCTCTCGTGCTGCAAGGCCCACTGTGGGGCCTGTGGTCTGTGTTGCCGCTCTACTCGTGGATTCCAAATTCATTGCTGCCAAAGATGGCTCTCTCGTCGTGCCGACTGAACATGGTCCCTTATCTCTCGGCGGATTGCCGACTTTCTGCCGTCGCTCGTCGTTTCTATGTTGTCGGCCCCGCAAGTGAACACGTGACCGTGATGGAAGTGTTTACCAGGACTAGTCATGGGCAGGTGATGCTAACTTTATG